TTCGAGTGTAAACTAAACGAGCCAATGCACATTGGCATGCAATTATTGCATCCAGCTGCCGCTGATCACAGCGTGAGTATAATAAGGCAGCAGGTGCAATGCATACCAGGTTTTCGCTGAGGAGCCGAGCCGGCGACCCTGCCGGTCAAAATGATGCTATGAAAATATAAATTAGCCACAGTTATTCCACTAGAAAAGTTTGGGAATCAGTAAGATTTTTTATTTTATTATATTATATTATTATTTTATTATTAATTATATTATATAATTTTATTATTATATTTTATAACAGTTTTTTTTTATTTGAATATATTTTAAAGTGTCATTTATTCGATACATTGTACTATACTATAGTATACTATACTATACTAAACTATAATATATTTTGAGCAGTCATTACTTTAGTCTTCAGTGTCATGTGATCCTTTAGAAATCTAATATGCTAATTTGGTGTTCAAGAAACATGTCTTATTATCAATGTTGAAAAAAGCTATTATAAAAGCTATATTTTTGTGGAAACCAAAACACATTTTTTTTCTAATATTCTTTGATGAATATAAAGTTTTCACTAATGTAATGCACTAATCTATTGATTTTTTTTTCACTTACAGACCCCAAACATTTGAACAGTTGTATAGTTCCCCCAAAACGTTTTTCGTTTTGGAGGAAAAAAACAAAACAAATCCCCCCCCCCAAAAAATCCCTAAAAATATTCTTATCCAAAAAAAAGATGATGAGCAGTTGAGTATGAGGAAAATGTATTTTACTTCATATATCATGTATTTTTGCATGGTTGGATCGTTGTTATGACCAGCCAGCATCTAGAAATATAACTAACCATTTTATAATATGTAACATTTGATTAATTTTCTCACATGATTGAGACAGAATCTGTGTATACAGCAAAAAGGGCCACAATAGCCATACTTTACTTTTTCGTACAGCCTATTTGGGTTAAAAAGTTGTATCCAACACCTTGCACTGTTTTCGCCAGTCCATGGTGATGTACTGGAGGTAGAGAGTCTGACCTTGGGAAGCTTACTATGAGCACACAGGGGGAGCGATTCTTTGATATGCACAATCAAAGACCTCCCACGTCCGCTGCTGTGAGGAAGGTTACTTTTGTAGTTGTTGTTGTTTTCTATAATACTCTGTACAAAGGCAGTTGACCATGACTTTCATACCAGCTTTCTGTTTGTGAAGGTCAGCAAGGAGGTTTTAATTACCTGGTAAAGGAACAGCGGAACTCAACAGGGGTTTCGCTCAGAGGAAACGGGTGAAAACATCAAACATGGAACCTGTCCGCAAAGCACACATTGTCTGTAAATGAACAACGGCTCATTCCACCTTTGTGTGAAAATTTAAATAACCTCACTTTCATGTTCACAGTAACTTTGTTTTCAGTGGTCACTTTAGGTGCATTTTTCGAATGCTGGTTATAACCTCTGCTTTGACCCCAGAACAGCTTGGAATGGAAACATTCCTTACAGATTCTGGCCTATAGTGTAGATTTACATGATCTACATGATCAAACTTTGAATGTACTGTTCCACCACATTCCAAAGGTATTCTGTGGCAGGGGTTTTTAAACTTTTGAGGTGAAAATACCCCAAACATGATCACCTTTGTGAGGGACCACATTATAAAATATAAAGCCAGCTCTTTTTTATATAAAAACTCTTGCATACTGTGTGAGAAAAAGATTGTGTGATATTAAAAACAAATAATTGGCTTTTCTTTAGTCAATGTATTGATGCAAATTGTTAAATGACAGCAACTAAGTGGAACTTTGTTAATTTGTATAGTTAATATGTATTAATGTTATTTTTAAAGATAGTTAAGTATATTTTAAATGTTAAAAAGTATATTTGTTTTTTCTTCTTTCAGTAAAAAACTAGTGCTCTCAACAAAATGAAAAACGTCTTGGATACGTATGGTAACCCTCGCTCCCTGAAGGAGGGAACGGAGACGTCACGTCGGTGACCGACGAATTGGGATATCGCTTCGATAGACCAATCTACTTCGAGTGTAAACTAAACGAGCCAATGCACATTGGCATGCAATTATTGCATCCAGCTGCCGCTGATCACAGCGTGAGTATAATAAGGCAGCAGGTGCAATGCATACCAGGTTTTCGCTGAGGAGCCGAGTCGGCGACCCTGCCGCTCAGCGGTTGTACAGCAACTGTGGCGACGTGACGTCTCCGTTCCCTCCTTCAGCGAAATGTCGGTGACCGATGAGTTGGGATCCCTACCAAAGCGCCATGGTGCTGCCCCTTCCAGTGCCCTGTGCGAGCCGCCTGCGCCCCTATCTGGTGTAGGCCAGGGCTCGGGACAAGTAGTTCCACTCACCATTTTCCAAAGCACTACCTTACTGAGTGAGATTGGATAACACTGGGAAAACGTACCCACTCCACTTGGAACAGGGACGCTGCGGAAACGACACATGAAAGTACGCGTCCTTCAGGTCGATCGCTGCAAACCAATCTCGGGGACGGACGCACCCGAAGATGCGTTTCTGCGTCAACATCTTGAATGGTAGCCGATGAAGGGCCCGGTTCAAAACTCGCAGGTCCAAGATTGGCCGTAACCCACCGCACAGGGGAATTGAGGAACCGAACCTTGTCGGTGTCCCTCATGTCTGCCAGACACAGCCAGAGATGGCGCTCCTGGACCACAAGCGTGGACATTGCACGACCCAGAGAACTCGCGGTGACCTTCGTCGCTCGGAGCGCGAGGTCAGTGGCGGTTCGGAGCTCTTTCAGAACTTCCGGATCGTGACCACCCTCGTGCAGGTCCTTCAGTGCCTTAGCCTGGTGCACCTGCAGTAACGCCATAGCGTGTAAGGCGGAAGCAGCTTCCCCGCAAGCCGTATAGGCACTGCCGGTTAGACCAGACGAATGCCTACAGGCCCGGGAAGGAAGTACCGGGTCTCCCCGCCAGGAGGAGGCGGACTTAGGACACAATTGCATCGCTACCGCCCGCTCCACCGGGGGGATCGCCGAATACCCCTTCGCTGCACCGCCGTCGAGGGTGGTGAGGGAGGAGGAGCCCGCCGGCCGGTTTCTGGCAGTAAAAGGTGCCGTCCACGATCTGGTGAGCTCGTCATGCACTTCCGGGAAGAAAGGCACCGGGGCGGGGCGCTGAGAACCAGCGCGAGCCACCCCGAGAAACCAATCATCCAGCCTTGAGGGTTTGGGACACGGTGGAGGTTTCCACTCGATCCCGACCCTTTCGGCGGCCCGGGAAAGCTAAGCTGTCTTCTCCGGATCCGATTCAGGCTTTGCCACCGTACCGGAGGGCGGCAGCGCGGCCGAATCCTCATCGGACAGCTCTCCCTCCGATGCTGAGATCGACATCTGGTCGGGGGGAGGTCCACTGGATACCGCTGGTACGCTCTTTAAAGAGGGCCCAGCGCGTTCCGTGGGTCGCTCCACTGGATCGGAGGAGCAAGAGGAGTGATGGTCCCCAGAGGGTTGGTTCCCTGCGGGGTTTGCCATCACTGTAACCCTCAAACCGCCCGCGCTACTGCTGGAAGTGGTTCTCGTCTGCCTTCCGCCAGAACGACCCCCAGATCGCGGCAGTGGGACTCCGCCCCCTTGCGAGTAGCGGAACCTGGTTCGCAGCTCCGAGATGGTCATCTTCCCGCAATGAGAACATGACTCATCCACGAAGGCCACTTTAGCGTGCTTGATGCCCAGACACGTGAGGCAGCGATCTTGACCATCACCTGGTGCCAGGTAACGAAACGCACGGGTGAAACGGCATCTTTATAAGGACGATCCGTCGTCTTTATAAAGACGCACCCGTGGAGCTCTTTTAGAGAAATTTGCTCTTTAGGAAATGGTCTTTTAGTGCTGAGGCGCACAGGCATCACCCGGTGCCAGGTAACGACCGCACCCAGAAACGCACGGGTGAAACGGCATCCTTATAAGGACGATCCGTCGTCTTTATAAAGACGCACCCGTGTAGCTCTTTTAGAGAAATTTGCTCTTTAGGAAATGCTCTTTTAGTGCTGAGGCGCACAGGGGAGATGGCCGCTTTGCAACACGACAGGGTGTAGTGCAGCCTGAAGTGCGCAACCCACTCGACACTGGAACGACCACCGCTGAAGCACGCCGGTCTCGCCAACACAGAAAGCTTCCGAGAGCGTGCTGAACTCGTAGTTCTCTAAATGAATATAGAGCAGAACGATGTTGTCGCTCGGCTCCGAAGCGAAAAGCTGGTATGCATTGCACCTGCTGCCTTATTATACTCACGCTGTGATCAGCGGCAGCTGGATGCAATAATTGCATGCCAATGTGCATTGGCTCGTTTAGTTTACACTCGAAGTAGATTGGTCTATCGAAGCGATATCCCAATTCGTCGGTCACCAACGTGACTCGGAGTGACCGACTGAAAGGGAACTCTCATTAGACAGTGATCTCATTATTTCTGATATTAATCTAATTAAAGATTATAGTAATCTTTAAAAAAAAAGCAGAATTAAAGTCGTATTATCATATTTGGTGAATGTAAATAAAAAAAGTTAAACATTTTAATATCTTAAGTATACATATTCAAGGAATAGTTCAACCAAAAATTTAAGTTTTATTTTATTTGTTTTAAAGAATGTTGGTATTGTATGGACAAAAATACAACAGAAGTCAATGGGAATAGAAACTGTTTTGGTTGCCAGCATATTTGAAAACATCTTCTTTTATGTTCCACATGAAGAAAGACAGGTTTGGAATGACATGAGGGTGAGTAAATGATGACAGAACTTTAATTTTTCATATTTGGGTGACCTATCCCTTTGAAAGCATTGCGGGGGAAACTATAGATTATTTTCTCTTTAAATATTTTGAACACTATATTATCATGTGGCTAGTTGATGCAAAATGGCCAAAAACAATTCTTCTGGAGGCTTGGCATTCAAATAATGCCTAGTTGGTACTGTATAAAATGGCCTAATTTGTGCTAAGAAAATATTCCAGACAGTATTAAACCATCACCACCAACCTGAACAGCTGACACAAGGCAGGATGGACCCATGTCCCAAATTCTGATTCTACCGCCTGCACAGCAGAAATCAAAATTCTTCTGACCAGACGTTTTCCCAATCTTGTGCTCTCTAGTTTTGGCGTAGCTTCAGTTTCCTGCTCTTAACTGACCGAGAGAAACCCGGTGTAGATTTGCATGTTGCTGTGACCCATTCAATTCAAGGTTTGACGCTTCGCACGTTCAGAGATGATCTTCTGCATGGCACAGTAGTAACGTGTGATTATTTCACTTACCACTGCGTTTCTGTCAGCTTAAATAGTCTGCCCATTCTCCTCTGACCCCTCTCATTAACAACCCGCTTTCGCCCACAAAACTGCAGCACTGCATGTTTTTTTGTTTTTCACACTGTAACTCTGGAGACAGTTGTGTGTGAAAATCCCGGGAGATCAGCAGTTTCTCAGATACAAAAATCTCCCCGTCTGGCACCTACAGTACAGTCATTCTGCGGCCTCCATTCGGATGTTTGCTTTGAATAAACCTGAACCCCTATGTCCAAAAGATGGCAGAAAACTGAGGTTGGAAGACAATAAAGAACGTCAGAAAGCTATGTTTGTATCACATATTGTCTTTTAAGATGTCTGGTTGATCTTTAAAGGTAACATAAATATATCATGACATGAATCAATTTCCAATTCAAATGTATAAACTGGTTCAGGGGGTGTGTCTTTTTGAACGCTATGACAACCCAATGACATCATCTTCCAAAAACACAGATTCACTCACAGAAAAGCAAAGGCTGAAGTCACTGTTCATGGGGAACTCGAGCTTGCTGCATGTCAGTGATGCCTGCATACAAAAGGAAGTCAGACCTACACACACTCACACAAATGTACTAGATTAGAAACTTGATGAACTTTCGAATTGTGCTGTGTAACAGGGATAAAATTGAAAATTGAATTTACTGATCTTCATGTTTGTCATTTATGTCTGTGCTGGTTGCTCATTTCCAAGCAATATCAATGAATATGGACTGGAGCTTTTACAAAGCATGCAAAAGCAACATAAAGTATCATAAAAGTGGTCCACATGGCTTGCGTGCTATATTATAGCTCTTCTAAAGCCATACGATTTTGTGAGGGACGGTCTAAAATTTTAATTGAAAGTTTATTTACTAATAATCTTTCCTGATAGTGAGCTGGGACTGAATCATTAAGTCATTGAGTTGAACTCAAAAAACAGATTAACTGATATGTGAACAAATAATTCAGATCAGTTTTGTGAACTGGATCCGCAAGTCAATTTCAGCTAATAACAACTTTAAAAAAAAACACAGGCTCATTGGAAAAACATGCCTCTTTTATTTGATAATTTTTTTATATTAATCTTTATTTATTTAATTGCAAACTATAAGTGATAAAAAATATATTTTTAAGGAGTTCCTTGCACAATACTATGTTATCACTTGTTAAAACATTTTTTACCATAGTGCATGATTTGTATACTAATGCATTTTTACATTTGCATCACATAACCAGCTCCATATGGCTTTTCTGACATGGTAAACTTGCTTGGTAGCTCACCTGATAAGGGATTGTACTTGTGATGCAGAGCATTTGGGCATGAGTTTCGTAAAACATGAGTCACAATGAAAGACCTCAAAGACTTGTAAAACGTCATTGCTGCTTCAGATAATGTGCATTTACCTTACATTTGCTTGTTGACAATATCGGTTAAGTGTAGATGGTAAGTTATTTTCAAATGCGATAGAGCATTAATTGTTAGTGCCATTTATTGGACATTTAGTTTCTGAAGTGCTGCAATACTTACAACAACTGACGTGATAAAACATTTGCACAACAGGTTCATCTGTTTCCGATAAAACTGAACACACTTTTAGAATCACTCACTGGACATTTTACTTTGAAAATGTTGCAAAGCGTGCAAGAAGAAATGTAATATCTTTTTGCAGGGATGTCGCCACAGGCACGTTTTCCCAATGATGCTGTGTTGCAAATTTTGGTTTGTTCTTTACACAGCTATCACATGACTTGAGAAGATCTAGAAGTTTTATAATGGTGCGTTTTCCTCCCATTTTTGAAGCTGGAAAGCCCAACTCCCTATCAATCATCTGCATGGAAAAGAGCGCCCACAACAGTCTTCGAAATTTCTCTTTTTGCATTCCAAGAAAGAAAGTCATATGATTTGGAACAGCTGGAGGTTGAGTAAAAACTTTCATCGCTAGCCAGTCCCTGCTTCTCTCAGTGAGCAGATGTGGGTGTTCGTTGTGAATCTTGAGTTTAATTTCTGATTTCTCTTCACCTTCACCTGACTTCCAGCCGCTTGTATCAGATAGATCTGTCGACAGGAGAAGGTGCGAGAATATACACTCACACCAAGTCAGAATGATTTGCAAGAGTCTTTGGTGAGCATGAACAACCTTGTCTGTATAAAGAGGGTCTCGACTCGACTTGAGGCAGGAGGGGGAGGGGTTACAATGACAGACAACTGCAACAATAACATGCAAACACAAGCCAAACAGACAGGCCTGTGCGGCAGGAAGATTCTTTAAACACATAAACATACACACTTGCTCTGCGTGTTCATGAATTCAGAGGCTTACTGGGTTGTGCAAGAACATTCTGTATTCATGAGACAGAGGAAGTGAATGCAGATAAGGGTGCTGGGAGGAGATTTCTCCTCACAGGATTTCTCTTTGTCTCAGCGCCTCCTACTGGCTGCTGCGGTACTTCCTCCTTCAAAGTCCTTAGACACCTCTGATTTAGATAAAACGTTTTCCTATCTTCTCTCTCACAAAAGCGGTGGATTGCAGTACGGCGCACAATGCAAAATGTACAATGTTTGCAAGGAGGAACAACTTGTCTTTTGGGTTCAAGAGAAGTTCAGAAGAGACGTGCAGCGGTAAATGCTAACCTCACAAATTTTGATCTGAGCTCATCACATGAGTCGTGCAGATCCCAGTGACTGCTATTTAGATGAATTCATTGTGCTTCTCTTATAGAATTCCAGCAAGAAAGCAGTTCGGGGTTACACTGGGTTGAATAATCTGGAACAGCGCTCCAGCACCTTCAATACAAAAACAAGCAAAATGCTCCAATCCATTTCCCTTTATGCTCCAGTCCTGTTTTTATTTTATTCATTATACGTTTAGCCAATGTACTCATTCAAAAAAAACCTTTAAAGTAACATTAAGCATTATGTTTCCCTTTAGTCTGTGGCAGACCTTAGTAGAGGCAACATATTCAACTAGACCATCACTGTTCTCTACAGCTGCGCGTGGTTCCGGCCCCTCTATCAGACGCATGCTTCATCTCAATCACTGGTCCTCTCTCCGAAAAATCAGAAAATAAAATGCAACCACTTTTCTGAATAACATTCACTTATATGAAGTGCCAATTTTGCATAGTAAAAATGCAGTTCATACCTACAGTGACTTGAATACATGCCATATGGTGTTACTCCACAAAAACCTAATGATATTTATAAATTATATTTATATGCATAAATAATCTATATAATGCATTAAAACTATTTTAAAAAACCTATATAATCACCTAAATGTTGAATAAACTAAATAATGATTAAAGATATGTACACTTGCATGAGTTGTAAGGAAAATATGTTATTACCTTTTACTTAAAGGTTACACCACATGACATTTTTAGAGTATTTTATTTTCCCCTTAAAAATCCTATCATAAAATTAACATGAATACAAAGACAAACATCATAAATATAACATGAATAAAAAGACTACTTTTCTAATAATGTGTGTTTTAAACTAGATTGTTCGGTAACACTAGTATAGGGACCAATTCTCACTATTAACTAATTGCTTATTAGTATGTTTATCAATAACATATTGGTTTTTTATTAGTACTTATAAAGCACACATTCTGCATGACCATATTCTGCATCTCTAATCCAATACCTAAACTTAACAACTACCTTACTAACTATTAATAATCAGCAAATTAGGAGTTTACTGAGGCTTAAGTCGTAGTTTATGGTTTGTTAATAGCGAGAACTGAACCTTAAAATAAAGTGTGACTGAATGTCCCTTTTAAAAAATGGTGTACACTCTTCTATGTCGTTGATCCAAATGCATTTCTCAGGTTAAAAACCAAAGACACTTCTTGTCAAATTCCAACCAACAAATACCACATGAGTTTTAGTGATGCTTGTATTTACATGTATATACAAGTGATACTTGTATATGCATTTAATTTTTGATTCATTATTTATTTCATTCAGTTTTTCTTTTCTTAGCAAACAGAATGTCACAGAAGGGTGTCAACATTGGGGATGGGGCATGTTTTATTCTGCCATGGGCACCAAAATCACCACCAAAATCCCTATTTAACCCTTTAAAGTGATATATTTTATAAATTATTAGCCAACCAGCCAAAAAAAGCGATCATATATTGACACCAGATGAGAGCAAAGAAGCTTAAATGCAGAAAAAAAATGAGGTTCAACTTGTGAGAAACACTCCAGAGGGGAATCTGAACATGCTTTGGACACAAGAGAAAAAGCGTAAGCGTCACTGCAAAGCTTTACACAATTACACATGCACACTCATTCTGAAAATACACATATGGAGAACCCGTATCCGTACCCTCGCTATTCCCCCTCCAAAGTTGGTGTGTGAGAGAGAGGACAGAGGAGGGCTGAATAGAGGCTTGGTTGCAGACCTGTGGGCCAGAGTGAGTGCAGAGCATTGATCCAGAGCTGGAGAGGCCCAACACAATAGATGGATTACAAATGCCAGGACTGGAGCCACTCCCCTACACACCGATGTGCCCAAACAATAGGAAAGACACACACGCACACACACACACACACAGGCAAATTAGAGTGAGAGAAGCAGACAGAGAAAGCAGCATATTGACAAGGAGAGAGAGGAAAAGAGCGAGCAACAAACTGACTGTTCAGGTCAGATTCAAAAACACACATTCCTGTTTATGTCTCCCCTGGTTCAGAGAGCTATTCATTAGTCCTTTCTGTAAATCAATCTACTGCTTTTTAAAACAGTGTCAATTTAAGCGTGACGCCTGTCAGCTTGACGTCGCTCTGTGGATATTTAACTTGAAGCCCAATTAATCATCATGATTAATTCCTGCACAAACCAGCTGCAACT